TTAAGTGGGCGGCCAGCTAGGCAGTAACATAAAGAGATCAAACAAAAAAAATAACAGGCCCATTAAGAGAGGCCCATTAGCTAACAGGAAAATAGAAAAAATATTACAAGAGAAGATACTAGGACCCATTCGGCCCAGTCTCTTTACATTTACATTACAATTATAAGACATGCTTAAGTTTTTTTCTGTCTATAGAAGCCAAAAGCCAGAAATCACCTAATTGTGAGGCAAAGGCTATCAAATAGGTACTTCTGCCTCACAATCTTTTGCTGTCCTCTGCATCTGCAAAAGTACTTCTGTATCTTAATTACCAAAGATCATTGAATGCAAATTAGTGCTTCCTAGGGGCAATCCCAAATAGGGTTTAGTTTCCCTGAAAAATCTAGCTTTTAAATTTATTCCTATCCCAAAAAAAAATATATTTTTTCATGTTGAACCTGATCATTTTGGTGATCAAGATTTAACTTCAGGATTCCTTAAGAACTTTCCCTCAACTTGTTGTTTCTCATTTTCTTTCAAAGAAAACACAACATAATGGTAGCTATAGAATTTTTCAGTATGCTGGAGTATAAATATAATTTATAATTTGTGTTATATTTTGTAGATAAAAAGAGATGGAATAACAAAGCTTGTTGTGCTTCCTCTTTATCCGCAATTCTCAATATCAACTAGTGGTTCAAGCCTTCGACTGTTAGAAAGCATATTCCGGTATTGAATGAGTTCATGCTACTATCACATTATGATGTTTTTAGTGCACCCTGACTTCAGTTTTGTCTGATAATTTCATTTATTTGATCACTAGGGAGGATGAGTACCTGGTTAACATGCAACACACTATTATACCTTCCTGGTACCAGCGTGAAGGCTACATAAAGGCCATGGCAAATTTAATTGAAAGAGAGTTAGAAAAATTTGAGCACCCTGAGAAGGTATGCCATTTTTTGTTACATTTAGACCTTCCTACTCATTGCATCTATTTATGGCACATATTTCCAATGTGGTATTGGTTGGCCCCCATTTGGTATCTGTATGCATGTGTCAGAATAAAATAATGTTTATCACAGATTAGGTGCTTTTATTGCCCATCATTTTGGAGTTATATGTATGCTTAATTTTTTTTATTTTTATTTTGATAAAAGGTAACTTTCATTAAATATCAAGAGGGGGGATGTACATGAGAAGATGTACAAAAACCAGGAAGCCCAAAAAAAGTAAAAAACAATGGCAAAGTGCTATCACTATACAAGGGGAGGAAAAGAAAGATCATCTAATTAACTAAGAAATAGTTTGTAGGAGTAAAGAGGAGGGTGGACTAGGATTAGGAAGGTTAGCTCTCAAGAATAAAGCTCTCTTAGGAAAATGGTTGTGGAGGTGGCCCAGAGAAAGGGAGAGGTTGTGGCATGAAGTGATAGCTAGTATACATGGCAGACTGGAAAATGGATGGGATGCGGGTGTATCGCGTCAAGCTATGTAGGCATCTCTGTGGAAAGCAATCCAAAGTATCCTCCCTCAATTTCTAAACTCTGTCAGGTATGATGTCAACTCTGGTAACTCTGTTTTATTTTGGGAAGACACTTGGGTGGGTATCGTTGCCCTTAGGGACTGGTTCCCGTCTCTCTATTACCTTTCTCTTTACAAGTAAAAAACTATCTCTCATTTTCTCCGAACTCTTACCTCACCCTCATCCTTAAGTTGGGACTTCGGTCTTCAGAGAGGATTGGGGGTAATGAACTTAGTAGTGTTTCAGATCTGTTGTCTCTTCTTGGCAGTGTCTTTTTGGACCCTCTTAGTTTGGATGTGAGATTATGGTCCCCTCATCCAAAAGGTTACTTCACTTGTGCTTCTTTTTTAAGACCCTATGCTCTTCCCCTGGGTAGTTGGGTTTTTCGACCAAGGAGATATGGTCTAGACCTGTTCCACCTAAAATTATTATTTTCTACCGGGAGGTGTTTTATAGAAAAATCAATACCTTGGACTGCTTGCAGAAGAAAAGGCCTTTCATGTGTTTGTCCCCTAACTGGTGTGTACTTTGCAGGGCTAGTGGTGAGGATTGCTCCCACTTACTTGTATCTTGTTCCTTTTCTAGTGCTATTTGGAGTTGGATTTTTGCTTTGTTTGGGTGTAGGGGGAATCTGACCACAGACTTAAGTCAGTTGTTCGATCCTTCATTTTTTGTGTGGCCTACAAAAAAAGGAAAAACTGTGTGGAGATGCATTAGAGCAGCCGCCTTGTGGACAATCTGGGAAGAAAGGAATGTAAGGGTATTCAAGGAAAAGGAAAGAAGCACTCTGGCTGTAGAGGATTGTATCTTGACTAGGGCCATCCATTGGTTAAGAACTATGGACTTCTTTCATACATTTTCTTTTGATGATATTTGGAGAAACTGGATAGTGGTGGCTAATAGTCATACGAGGAAGGACAAGGAATCTGTAGGGTGGGTGCCTCCACCTGAAGGTTGGGCAAAGCTGAATTTTGTTGGTAGTAGCTAAGGAAATCCAGGCCCATCGGGGATAGGAGGGGTGCTAAGAGATAAGGACAGCAACATCTTAGCCTTGTTTTCAGACCCCGTGGAATAGGAGACTCTAATAGAGCTGTGATTTTAGCGGTTGTACAAGGTATTCAGATTGCAGAGCAATTAGGAGTTCAGAATTTGGTAATTGAAGGAGACTCCAAAATTGTTATGGGATGGCTGACAGATCCAGCTTCAGCCATGTGGCAACACAGAGACTTATTGAGGAAAGTCAATTGGCTCACTAGAAGCATGACTGTTACCTCTCTCTGGGTGGGAAGATCAGCAAAAACCTTAGTGGATGGGTAGCCAAGCAAGAGGCTTCAAGGGAACGTTTATTTTGGGCTGCACTGTAATTTTATTTCTGTTTATTCCTGTTTTTAACTTGATGTAATACTCTGTTAGAAGAGGTAACAGCTCGTGCCTCTTCATGGGTCCTGTAAGGCCTTAATTTTCTGGCTTAGTAAAATTATCTTCATTCATAAAAAAAAAATGAAGTCCTATACACCCATGTTTTTGCTAAGGAGTCAGCCATGGCATTCAGCTCCCTAGGAACTTATCTGAAAGAGCAAAAAAAGAACGGAGAACTCTTGAATTTCATTGTGCAGGTGGGCCAATTTCCGAGGACCTGCATCCTGATTAGCAGCCCATCCAATAGCATTTCTTGAATTACCCTTCACCACAATAGGAGTGGAATGAATAGACCTAGCCACCCTTGACCCCATCAAAAGAGCTCTAACTTGGGCTTAAGCCACATCTGTAATGCCAATAGGTCCACTGTAAGCCCACAACATAGTTCCTGCAGAATTAGTTATGAGACCACCAATCCTTGCCATCCTCCTACAATAAGAGATTATTCTACAATTGCAATCAAAATTTAGCAGGAATTCTCAACTTGGTCTTGGAGCTATCTGAGGTGGAATCAAAGGGTCAGACCTAGAGGAAAGAAGGATACAGCTGAGATTTCCTGTCCAAATATTCATGAGGTATTCCTTTAAGCTTACTCGTGAGAACCCACAAATTGAGGAGATTCAAGGTTCTATCTCTGATCCCTTCCCAAGCAGTAGGTTTATTTTCAAATATCCTTATATTTGTTCCTCCCAAAGGCACCACAAATCTGCATGAACTATTGATGCAGGAGCTGAAGAGTCAAAATTGGAATTTTATGAAATTTTATATATTTATGTATTTTTGGGTTTATTTTGCAATTTCTGTGGGGTCTAATAATAGGGTTTATTTTGTCTAGTTATAGTTTGCTTATGTTTAAAATTTCAGTCATTGCATAAGTAGGATTAGAGTTATTGGGTCTTCTTTGAATTAAAATATGATATGACAGCTTAGTTTGAGTCCTACTAGGATTATTGGGTCTAATAGTTTGATTCCTAAGGCTATTATGAGTCTAACAGTTTGACTCCTAGGATTATTATGAGTTTAGAGTCTGTAAACATGTATAGACGTTTTACACAAAATGCAATGAAATATATTGAGTTTTCTTCAGCTTATGCTAGCTATGGTGAGTGATTCCCATGCCCTAGAGTGATTCTAGACACCCTGTGAGTGATTCCAGGTATTTTCTCTCTGCTTTCTCTCCCTATTTTCTCTCTTATTCCTTCAAGAAGCCATTACAGCCATCAACAGCCATAAAACTCTGATCAAGAAGACCATTCAACATTCTCTAAGGACTAGGACTGAGCTAGTCCTACATCAACTATGGTTCTCCAATATTATAATTTACCCCTAGGTCCAAGATTGCAAGCAGGCCATTTAGAGATGAAATCAACAACATTTTTAGGAGGAACCCAGCAAAATCTGCAGGCATATAACAGGTCAAGAAATAACTACCAAAGCTTACTGGCTGTCATGGGCTGTCATACAATTAATGAGCAGGTGGCTCAAAGACTCTGCATTTTTCAAGCATAAGAGACACATGTGGCGAAATATAAAGCTGCCCTCTTCTTTTCCTTTGAATCAAATCGCATGTGTTGACTTGGTGTGAAACTTTAGCGGCCACCTACACAAAGAAAGAGACTTTAGTAGTGATACTTGAGGGCTAAAGCCTTTTAGTTGTGAAAGAAGGTAGAGGAGCCAGGTATGAGGCAATGGAAGAAGGATTTGGTTGAAAAATACCATTGGGGGAAGGGAACTGAATTCTTTTATTCAGGTGGGAGGGAGAGAGAAAAAAGAGTTCAAATCTGCGCCCCACGGCCTTGCCCCCAAAACGCCCCACACAATGGAATCCCGCCAAGTGTCCTCTCACACGCATTCCTCCCTCAGCGCATGCAAAGCTAATGGGACGGTAGTTGGATCATCCCGTTAGCTCCTAATTTCACCCAAAACGAAAATTTATCCCCATTCCCGCTCAAACTTTCTCAGACTCTCGACCTGCCCTGTGTAACCCTGACCCCTGCACCTCCTCCTCCTCCTCCATCTAAGCTTGGAGAGAAATCCGACGCTGACGACCTTCTGGAGGACACACCGGAGGTACTTCCCGTCCCTCTCATACTCACTGGTTCTTGCCGTAGACAGATCATGAGTTCCGTGTGAGGGAACTCACCGATGGAGGAAGTTTTGAAACATCCATGCCCGTAAAACTGAGACAGATCTTTCCAGCAAGCCTTTTTGTGGTCTCCATGACTGATGATCTTTTCTTCTTAGCGCAGAGCACATTTCTTTTCGATTAAAGATGATTCAAATGACTTCTCCTCTCCAATGCATCCACTACTGATGTGTTCTCCAGTTGCAAGGATTTGATTGGCAATTTTCTCCCTTTGATTGCTATATAGAAAAGAGATTGTTTGAAGAACAAAATGAGCATATGTATCTGATGGTCCAGCTCAGTTGCAGCATGGTTGTATCTGTTATCAACCTGAGTTGAAGACACAACCAAAGGGGGTTAGAACCAGAAGCTACAAATTGAGCATCCATATTGCTCAGTATTCCAGAAATTAACTGCACAAAAATGCAATCTAATGTATTAAAGTGGAACTTTCTGCTCCAAAACTAGTCTTTTCTATTGCAGACTTTAAGAACATATGGTTCGTTCAATTCACAATGGTGATCTCGGAGGTTGTGATCTGAAACAAGATTCATATTCTCTCTCTCTCTCTCTCTCTGAGTTCCTGTTAAGACTGAAAGCGTATTCTTAACCAATAAATAGTCGATAATTATTGGAAAACCCTGGATATAATTGTGTATTTGCTTGAAATATTGTGTGAAATTTTCTCACCATAATGCCCACAACAATAAATTAAAGAAGAAAGGAAGATATGAATTCGTGGCTAAACATGGAATTAAATTCTGAAGCAGGTATAAGTTGGTGCTGGATCAACAACAGTGGATATCATATTCCATTGTATGGGTTTTTTCATGCATGTGGGGATTGGTTTGTTTCAGAGCGGAGTGTTCAGGTTGAAAAGTTCT